CCCCACACACACACACACACACTTCTCCGCCTCATTCTGTTTTCATTTACTCGTTCGTTATCTGACCAGCTTCAATCTTGTAGGCTACTCACCTCGTTTCTTGTAGCCCTCGAAAGGGTTTTGGAGGGTGATCCCTCGGTGAACGGGAGTTGAATGGCTTTCTTGTCCGCAGCAGCAGAAAGCATTTTCGAATGTTTGAATGAATCAAAGTGGGTCGCCACCGTCGATTTTCTCTTATGCTGCAACACACAGTTGCACGGGGTGCAGAATAGTTTCCCCCCACTTTTTGCCCGGTCTTTAGTAGAAATGTTCGTTGGTAAATGAGCTCTATACAGTGTTGTTTACATTATGTGATGCGCGAGCTGATGACGTCACGTCAAGACGAGTTAACTTTTTTTCCTTCTCAACTTTGTGTGGAAAAATGCGGGGATTATGCGGCCTTTTGATAAATATGCGGCTTTTTAAAAATCTGCGCCATTTGGCTGATTATGCGGTAAATTCTGCGATCGCAGAATCGCGTTTTTCTGGAGGGTCTAATTTATAAACCAGTTCTAACATAGTTTTCATACGTCAACACAGGCTCACTATTTGGCAAGATGACTAAGCCTTATATTGGCTACTTAGCGAGAATCAACTCGGTGAGCAACAGATACCAAGGATGCTGGCTGATGAAGGAGACGAAGTAAGCTAAGTAGCCAATATAACACTTAGCAGTACAGATACATGTGGGCTCACTATTTGGCAAGAGGACTAAGCCTTATATTGGCTACCTAGCTTACTTCGTGTTCTTCATCAGCCAGCATCCTTGGTATCTGTTGCTCACTGAGCTGATTACCCCCCTTCCATCTTGATGTTTCTTGGCATCTCTTTATAACCATTTATTTACGAGTTACTAACATTTAAAGTTGCCAAAAAGGAGCCTTGTTGTAAAGTGTAAAACACATTCCCATTTATTAATGAGTTACTACAGTTTACAATAAGGCTTAGCAGGACAGATACATGTGGGCTCACTATTTGGCAAACAACCGGCCACAGTTGCCCTGTTTATCGTCTTATAAAAAGCTTATTAAGGATTTATAAAGGGTTCACAACCTAATTAATAAATGAATTACAAACTATCCGTAAACCCTTTATAAGGGCACTCTTATTGTAAAGTGGTACCGAAAAGCTTCTCTGAAAGCACGTCACGGCACATTATGATTGAAATCAAACGTCCAATTAGGTTAAGCAGAAAGAAAGCTACTAACAGTGTTGACCATTAAAACAAGAGCTAGCTGCTGTTGGAAAGGAAACCGTAAGAAATAAATGAGTGTTTAAAACCCATAAATAAGGATGAAGCCTGATTAGACTGGTTTGACCTTACAGTTAAAACCTTAAAGCACCTCCAAACCAAACCCGCTGTGCCCACTGTGGGCTTAGTGCAAATACACAGGGGAGTGGAGGGGAATATGGGCCACGGTTAGAGAGATTAGATGCATTAGGAAGGGAGGAGGACTAGATGGAGGGGTAAGGACAGGTGGTTTATCTCTCAGAGGAGGGCAAACTCACAATAGGAAGAGGTGCTCTCACTGTGTAACAGGTAAACCAGTATGTGTGTATCGTGTCTATATATCATCTGTTCTTATCGTTAGTTGAACACACACACATCGTCATTCGGATTGTTAATAGAAAAGCAACCACTCATGCATATCTGAATTTTAAGTTTAGAGTATCGAAAGACATATGAGAAGATACGAGAGGTCACTCACCAATTTGCTGTGGTGGTATTTGCAGTATCCACAGTACTTCACATTGTCTGCGTCCGATCCTTGCTCCTCACACAACAACCCCGCAAACTGGGCACTGTGGCAGAGAGTAAATTACATTATTTGTAATATAAATCTCTCACTTTTTATTTGATGGGCATTTCATTGATGGTATCAGTAGAGAGGGAATGGCGATCTGGCAGAGAAAGAGGGTGCGTGACATGCAGCATTTGTGCCATGCATCCTATCCACATGAGCGCTCCACAATCTCCCTCTTTGTGCAGTGAGGATTATGGGATGTGAACGATTCTCACCATGTGACGTGGAAGGCCTGCCTGCAGCCATGTTTGTTGCAGGTCATACAGGCTCCAGTGGCTGCTTTACTCTCTCTGCCCTGGTCCTCGCAAATATAACATGTCTACAAACAAACAGAGAAAAACAATGTAATTCAAAAACTTACTTTACATGTAATTGCGTTACTAAATGAATGATTTCTTTACCTTGTTATAACGATCATGTGGCACAGACTGGAGTACTATCGGCTCCATCGTCGAAACATTCGCAAATTCTACTTCCGGTATATAAAGCGCACAAACTACATGGGCCCAGCCTGCAAAGACACACAGAAAACAACCATCAACCTTTGTATATATATGGCAGAAAAAGGGATTTATGGCAACATTTATAAGATGTATAAGCTGTGGCCGTCTTGAAAAAGGAATAAGAAATGTAAAAATGTTTGTTGATTGACTGATAACCTGGAGAATCAGCAGGGTAAAACAAACCCCAGCCGCTCTGATTTGACATTTTATAGACATAACGAGGATTGATGAATCAATAAATCAATCGTCAGATCAATACATTATTTAAGTTACTGCAGCCCCACAGTCATTCGTTGAGTACCTTTCAACGGTGGATTAAACGTCTTTGGCCAAAACCCTGAGAACCGATCTAAAATCCTCATGTGGTCTGGCCCCGATGTCTCTTTTGGTTACATTTAACATATGAAACATAAATTAAACTTGAGTTCAATGCTGAATCGTAAAAGTTTTTAATTTGCAACTTGGTAGTTAATCTACCCGAGTAGCCGTTTATGGAGCCCTAACACACACAGCTGCCTGTCAGCGAAGACAAACTGGGGGCGGCGGGATGACAGAGTGGCAGCAGAATTGACGAGGAGCTGAGGAGGAGCAGAAGGCGGTCAGCGCGAGGTCAACTGGAGGTGGGAGTCTCCTGGAGGTGTCTGTTTTTCCCCATAGCGGAAACAAAAACAGGCTTAAACTTACAGTTGAACCCCTGACCTGCCTTTGACCTGGGGGGGGAGGGGGGGCAGAGGGCGGGACATGGGGAGGCAGCGGGTGTGAAATGGGGGCATGTTGTTGTTTTGAAGTCCCTCCAAGAATCTGGAAGAGGCCTATAAAACAGGACTATAAAAGTGGCACAGCCTTCCTCTTCAAACCAAGCGTTCACTTTTATCCCCCAAAAACCCAACAAAGCATCCCCTAACAAACAGACGCTACTCGGAAAAGTTATCGGAGTCAAATGTGTTCAGACTGAGCTTTTATACTGTAGGAAATCTGGGGAAAATGCTGTATTTTCTGGAAGATCTTTTGCTGTAAACCCTGACACGGGCAGCAGGTATAAAAAAAATAAACTAACTTCGTCCATGTTGTTCTTACTGTAACGCGTACTTTTAAAAAGTGCCTGTACAGTGAAACCACAGCAACATCATACAAAATATGGTATCCAGATTTTTTAAACTGATTTGTAGGAAGTGAACTTGTCGCTAAATCTACTTATTTGTATTAACTTATTAACCCCTAAATGAATGTATGCCACAGATAATGTTTTAACCTTTTAGTGGAACAACTGCCCTCTAAACACATGCTATGAAAAGATACCCAATATTTACAGATAAAGAAGACCAAAAAGAGGATGTGAAAAGCAGCTGTAAAGTTTATTTCTGTCTCCGTCCTTTCTTCACTGTATGTTCAGATCAAATACTCGTTTCAGGCTAATCCCTCCGCTCTGCTTTAGTACTGTCCCACCTGAAATAACAGCAAGTACCACACAGATCAACAAGTGAAGAGGAACTGACAAGGGCGGAGAAATGGACGGTGGAGGAGAAGAGACGGTGAGAGAAAAATGGCAGGAAAAAAGAGAGAGGGAGAGAGGGGTCATGGGAAGGGTAAAATAAAGGAGAAAGTAGTAAAACGGTGTGTGTTAGTGTTGTCCTGATGCCTCCCTGCAGGCCTGGACACAATCCCACAGCTGTGCCTCTCGCTCTGACACACACACACACACTATTTACAGTCTCCACCAAGCTGACCTCCCAATGAACCCAGAGGAGACTCCTCACAGGCCATGCACTATACCCATCCTGGCCCGCCCCCTCATAAATACACACACACACACACACACACACACACACACACACACACACACACACACACACACACACACACACACACACACACACACACACACACACACACACACACACACACACCCCTTAAACTTGCCGGTGACATGCAATTAATGTCCAAACTACACAAGAGGCTGGCCACAAGTGTGTGTGAGTGTGTGTGTGTGTGTGTGTGTGTGTGTGTGTGTGTGTGTGTGTGTGTGTGTGTGTAGCTGAGAGGGATTCTACCTCCGTTGTCTGTCCTCTTGAGGGCTCCGTCTTTATGGGGACACAGCTCACATCTCTTTGGGGACAGAAGAACCAAAAACACACAGAAAAATAAAGTTAAATACAAAGTGACCAGTGGCCCTCTCAGTGTGTGTATGTGTGTGTATGTGTATGTGTATGTGTGTGTGTGTGTGTGTGTGTGTGTGTGTGTGTGTGTGTGTGTGTGTGTGTGTGTGTGTGTGTGTGTCTCGAGTCGAAAACAACATGTTACAAAGAGCACAGTGTGTGTGCAGAGACACTTACATGTCCCTTCTTTCTGAGAGAATAATCACATGTTGGCTTCAAGCGATTATGAAGTGGAGATAAACTGATCATTGAGCAGCTACTGTAAGCCACTTTTTGCCAAGTCATCATCATTCATATCCCTGCAACGAGCGTGAAGAGATGGGAATCTTAGGGTTTTGCGTCACAAAGTGTTTAATGATGTCCCAATTTATGTCTAAATTCACAAGATGCTTGAACTCGACTCTTTCGGACTTTAGAAAATATATACTTTCATTTATTTCTTACATTTTTAAAACTATTCAAATGATACACGCGTAAGTCAGCCCTCATTTCAACAGTCCGCTTTCTACGCAATGATCTGCTCTTTTTAATATGTTCTTAAAAATATAGAAACATTTCACCTCTTTAAGTTTCACCGCCTGGAATGACGGTTCCTTCAAGTAAAATAAAGTTTGGGCGTTTAATAATTGACGTATCTGCTTGGATGTAAAGATGTTTGACACTGCTCTGCACCGCTCAAAGGCTCCTCGTGTTCTTACGTGACCTGCTTATCGTTGTAGTTCTCCCCTTAACGTGTGAATGAGAAACCTGGTTTCCCGAATCAGTTGAGAGGCTGGAGGACAAACCTAGTTATCCTGCTACATATCTTATGAGGGAAACTTTGCCCTGAGCACACATGAATACGGCAATTCTGCAGATCATTCCTAGCACCTGTATCAACAACTACGCAAGTAAATCTTGTCTGACAAAATCTCGACAGGTCCTTAGAAGTTTGCCGAGGTCATATTAAGTTTAAACTCAGCACGCCTTTAGCACCGAAGAAGTAAAATACAGAGAGCCAACATCAGTTGTGTCCTGCATGATTTAGACGTCTGAGGAGAGTGGGTCATATACTCGGACCAGATCAATCAATAATACATATTTGTCCTGCTGTTGTGCCATTTTTAAGATGTTGAATGTTTGAGATGTCTTAATGTAATGGAACTGGATGGCATTGCTCGAAAGCGCCAACAATATACATTTTAAGAACTCAACATCAATGTCCCGGTCACTCACGGTAATCCACAGACCCCGACAAAGTGTATTTGGTTTACTGGACTCACTCGAGCAGCATTTGAGATAATCTTTTATAGAGCTTTCAAATCAGGATTAAATGTGATTTGGGGAAATATGATGGTAGCCTGTGCAGAATACAGAGTGTGTGATCGGGTCAAAGGACAGCGGGAGATGTCATGGGACTCAGAAAATGCTGCTGGTACAGGATGTTGCTCCACAAACAGAGGCAAGTCTGTCTAATGTCATGTCTCTAAAATGCCTTTGATACTGCCATGCTGTATTGAGATTGAAGATGACATGATAAGCATTGCGGGCTAAAAAAAAAAAAGCAATATTAGCTCAGTATGCTAAAGAATGCTCTGTAATAAATGATGTTATTTAAAGCAAGCCCTTGTTAGGGACTTCGTAGATTTGTTACCATAACATCGTATATATACACAGGGTCCCAGGATGTAATAAGGTTAGACTGAAGAACCCTTTAATGCAGCAGTCAGTCATTGATGTTGCAAATGAAGCAAGAAAAAAATCCAGGCTTGATATGATGATAAAATATAATTGTATCTTTCCCTCTTCCTAAAAAACAACGGCTTATAAGATCGGACATCTTTGCACAAATGATAAATGTGTAGATGGATTGTGTGACTCACCACTCTTGCAGCTCTCTCCTGAGATTCACACTTTCTGCAGAACCAAGGACCGGTGGGCACCTGCACGATGCCATAGCATGCTGAACACAGAGAGAGAGGGGGGGCCGTTAGAGTAAGCCCTCACGATCACAACAAAAGAAGACATTTTACACCACAGAATACATCTACACAGTGATAATGTGGAGGCGTGTGGCGCAGTGGATAGAGCGTTGGGATCAGGGGAGCACAGGTTCAAACCCCACTACAGTCAGCATGTCGTTGTGTCCCTGGGCAAGACACTTCACCCCAAATTGCTCCTGTGGGATTGCCCACAGTATTGAGTATGTAAGTGTACTAAGTAACATGTCATGTAAATTAAAAGTAATTTGCATTTCACCCTCTAACAAAAGCCACAGCACAAATAGTTTGTTTTTAGTCTGCTGTGTGGCTTTGTTTGTCATTGACATAAAATGACAAGAGAAGGGATCAGAGAAAGGTTGTCACGCCCCCAGGCCTCTGGCTCTGGCCCCTCCCAGCAGGGGGTTGTAGTACCCACATGTCTCCCTCAGCAGGACAGATCGCGTGCTCATCTTGTATAACAAAGAGTGAAAAAAGACTAACAAGAACTTAACCTTGCTGGAANCAGAACCAAGGACCGGTGGGCACCTGCACGATGCCATAGCATGCTGAACACAGAGAGAGAGGGGGGGCCGTTAGAGTAAGCCCTCACGATCACAACAAAAGAAGACATTTTACACCACAGAATACATCTACACAGTGATAATGTGGAGGCGTGTGGCGGACAGGTTCAAACCCCACTACAGTCAGCATGTCGTTGTGTCCCTGGGCAAGACACTTCACCCCAAATTACTCCTGTGGGGATTGTCCACAGTATTGAGTATAGGGGTCGACCGATTATAGGCGAGGCCGATATTCCGCATGTTACAGATTATCGGTATCGGCTTTTTAAAAATCAAATTGCCGATACGACTTTGGCTCTGATGCGGCCGTTTCTCTGGCTGCAGTCACCACTGTTCACGAGCAATGTCCCGCCCACAGCGCTATCTGAAGTGTCAATCAACACTGAAGATTTTCCGGGCTGCAGCCAGCCAGAGAGGCGGGACCTTCTCAGATTACAGGCAGGTGCGAAGAACGCAGACACAGGCAAGCAGCAGCGAGTGGTGTTTCGAAGGTAAATCAGTTGAAAGCCGAAGTTCAATAAACATCCCAATCCCCTATGCTGAAGTTGCAAAAACACCACGATCTTATGATCCATGATTCTATCAGTTTCCCAGTTACACAGAGACAGGGGGGCGGGTAGCGTCTAGCAGCGGAGAAACTGTGACGCGCTGGGACGACTGCTAGTGGAGCCTCGCAGCAACTCTGCTTTCTGCACCACAATCTGGTGCTGCTGAATTGGGACTAATGAATGAGTGAGACTCAAATATCAGAAGTTCAGAACAAGTTTTAGTAGTTTTTATTTTTACTTTACTCAGGGTGACAGAGAGGAAACCAGTTTTAAGATGTTGAAAAGTTCATTAAACACAAAAAGGCATTTCAAAGAAGTTCTGTTATTCTACATTTCGACACCAAGATTTTATGATTTTACTGCAAATGTATATCGGTTCCAAATATCGGTTATCGGTCTCCTTGATTACTAATAATCGGTATCGGCCTTGAAAAAGCCACATCGGTCGATCCCTAATTGAGTATGCAAATCGCTTTGGATAAAAGCGTCCAACAAGTGACATGTAATGATAATGAAACTAAAGCAAACACAAACACTCTTGATAACATCTTTGCAATATCACATCTCTAATTCTGACACTTTTTTACAACAGCCAGGATGCAAACATGTTACTAAACTGGTTTAAAAGCAGAACATAACAGTATATCCATTTGACACACTTTTTATATCACTATAAAAGCTGACAGTCTAAATGCACAAAAAATATGTGTAAAATACTTTTACAAAAGGCAGAATTGCTGGTAATGCCTGGTTAATGTCAACACGTGTTCATGTTTTCAAGCTTGTAACACCATACATGAGGAGTCTGCATTCACATAGGCCACAATCTTCACTTCAACTCCTACATTCCATTAAAAAGTATTTTTATTTTACTCACTTTGGATGCAAAGTCGCAGGGTCAGAGAGGCTATTGACGTCATTTTACTTTCATTCATTCTACGAAGTTATCTCAATTCTTAATATAGTTTAATTTCTAAATCGCATTAGCAAACAACATGATTTACATCATGGACCGCAACTTCAGGAACACACAGTTCTTTCACCGTAACAGATTGTACGGATGATCAAACAACTCAGACTTTAAGTTACAGTACAGTTGGTGCTAGCATGAATAGCCCACCTCTACACTTTTTCAGATTATCTCTGATCTGACCCGAGCCCTTAATCCAATGGTATACACTGCTTTAATCCAGATTTATGAGAACAAAACACCCGAAAGGTAACAAAGTGCTAACATCAAGTAGCACATGGTTAGGATATTTAGCACAAACTGCATAATGGGCTCATTTGTATTATAATGGCAGTCTGATTGAAACACCTAAAACTTTTCACTAAGATTGAGAGTTTCAAACACACAGAAGACATGTTTTTACACATCGTGTTTTAACTATAGGGCTGCAAATAACAATTTGTTTCAATATCGATTATATTATGGTTATTATCGTCTTAAACGGGATCTAAGATGTTGGTTTATAATGATATCAAAACAACAGGAAATGTCCATACAGTATTAAGAGGTCTTTGGAAAGCACTACTTCTCTTTCCTGGCTCTTTTTTCATCCATCTCTTTAAGGGATTAAATAAATGCCAGCAATCTGACAGAACAATGCAGAAAAAAAGACACTCATTGGACAATGTTTCATGTTTCTAGTTAATATTATCATAACTTTCATTTAAAACACTGTCCTGACTGCGGTTCACAATATTAAAGTAATAATATATTCCAAACATACTACAACTGCAAACTAGCATGCAGTAAATTAAGAATAGACTGTACTGCCTAGTTGATTACTAAACCACAGAATTTTAAAAAGACCACATTTTGTTTTGATGCGAGCGTTTAATATGTGATCCGATATCCAAAACAGTCCAAACTACAATCACTGACGTCTATATTTAGAAACACTTGGCAGTACTGAAGCTTCACAACTCAACTTTCATCTGGGACAGGCTTTGCTTGATGCTAAAAGTATAAAAATCCACTAAAAATAACTTTCCTGCTGAGGCTGGAATAATATGATGCAGTCATTAAATACTAGGCTATGAAATGTGGCACTATAATATGTAATAACAACATAATAACAAGGCATGCTTAAGACCAGCAAAGTGGACAGGTGGTTAAATAAAAAGCAAGTTAACAGACCTACTCTCACTGGACCTATTTTGCAGTCCATGCAATATCAAATTAAAACAAAAGAAAGTGTGTTTTCCTAACAAGTGCTCATCATTGAAATGCATCTGTGTGTGTTCATGCCGAGTTGCTGACATTTCGAATAGTTTTCCCCCTGCCTTTGCCAAGTGGACACATGGCCAGCTGTTACACTTGTAAACAGTGGACGTCATCGTGAGTCATCTTGGGTGAATAGTGTCTTGGCGGCACTGTATTTGTTTACATTGCCTGTATTTAGATTGTTCTATTACTGCCACTATATCTTTGCACCTTGTCTTCTAATTGTTTATTCACCTTGTTGTTTGCAACTTGTGTGTAATCCTTATTTATGCACAGGTACACTGGGAAATGTCGTTTCTACCTAAATGTCACTGCAATGTAAATAGATGCATGCATATCATAACAATAATAAATGCTAACATGTAGCAGCTAGAAACCATGCAATTGATGGCTTTAAAAAAAAGAGTCAATATATGGGGTTCTTTCCATAATGCGGTCTGCACTATTTCTTTAGTAGTAAGTTGCCGTATCACATATCTATAAAACCCTTGGTGGGAGTTTTGCGCGCACTTTCAGACTTCTGACAGGAGTGTATCCCTCCTCTGGATCCCGCCTGACAGGAACACAGAGGGAATGAGAGCAACCAGAATAGCTCTCATAAAGCAGCTGTCAAAGACCGTGTGCAGCGGATTAAAAGCCAAAATTAAGAGCCAAACAGTGGAGAGCCTGACCTCAGCCTGGCCTAGTGAGGGCAGGCGGAGGAGGAGGCTCCATAACCTTGCAATAACGCTAACTAGCCTGTGAGCTAAGTGCTAACTCGTAGCCTGGGTGAAATACGCAGCTTTACCTTGATGCACGGCCACGTTGCAGCCGTGTCCGTCGCAGTACACCAGAGGGTTTTCCGCCCAGCCTCGCTCGTCAGAGCAAACACAGCAGCCGCCGATCATCTCCTTCATATTATTCGTCGACCACTCGTCGTCCGCCGCCAGACAACGCTCGCCGGAGACCATCTACGAAGAAAGCGGACATGCGGAGGAATACGGTGCACAGCTAATCAGAAAAAACCTCCGCCGGAGACGCCCTACTTTCCTACGTAGCTCTAGGTTCCTCTCGGTCGAAATGTCATGTTTTTAAGGTATTTACGTCCCTTTTTTGACACCGTATTTTCTCACCAAAACATCCACTTCACGGCGCGGCGGTGAGGAGAAGAGGGGGGGGGGACTCCGTAGAGAACCGGATGTGCGTAATGACGCACGGTGTGCTCTGTCACCGGAAGTAAAACACCGATGTGATTGGCCCGCTGAAATCCGTTTAGGCTCCACATGGTCGAAAATGTTTGAAAGTTTTTGTGGCAAATATACTTTCCTTTGCTCGACTTACTGTCAACAACACTGTTACACAACATGCAGGTAGGCACTACAATCTGTCGGGTTAACTCAAGTACTTTACTTAAGTAATATTTTGACACAATAGTACTTTACTTGAGTATTTACATTGTTTGGCTACTTTATACATTTATACAGCGGCCAATTATATACTTTTTACTCCTACAGGTATTATACATTTACTAGTTACTTTTTACATATAAAAACACAAGCTTATAAGATACGACACACTTCTTTACTGCTTATCAACAGTGTATTTTCGGAAGTCTATAGAAGTTGCTCCACATCTACAAAATAAATCATTAAAATGTATATGATATACACTGTATTTGTTAGCTTCAAAACACAGAATAACCAAATATTGTTTAATACTGTGACTGAAAAGAGACAATATACATAACCAGTACTTTTGCTTTTGAGGTCCACTGTGCAGAAATAAAATATTGAACATTTGAATTACTTGTTGCTGCTAATACTTTTGTACTTTAACTTAAGTCATTTTTATTCAGCACTTTTTACTTGTAATAGAGTATTTTAAGACCATAATACTTCTACTTAAGAAAGGGATCTGATTACTTTTTCATGCACCTATGTGGGTTACTGACAGAACTATTAAACCAGAGGTACATGTTGATATGTTGTGGAGGAGATATTCAGGCCCTAACTGTGGAATCACCCCCTGGAGTAAAAGTGTTGCATTATGAGCAAAATGTCCTGAAAGTGTTCAAAGAAAAGTATCCATTTTGAAGTAAAATGTTCCCTGTCAGTGTTTAACCATAAGGCCTGTCTATATGATGTGTTTTTAAAAAAAATAATAATTACTTCTTTTTTTTAAAATAATTACTATTATTGAGTGGCATGATTTAACAAAGTTCAATTACATGCAGGTGGGGTTTTTTCTGATGGAAAACAATTAAAAGCAGGGTGTAAACAAAGGGGAAGTATACAAGTCTCTACCAGTATCCTACAGTGGAAATACTGCATTACACCTAAGCTAAAGGGCTTGAATTCAAAATATAACTAGAAGTATGTTAGCTATATTACCAAAGTATTTTTAAAGTACAAATATTCATTGTGAAGTCAAATGTTTTCCTGTCTGTTTTACTATTATAAAGACAGTATTGTGTTTTTTGATGGCTAATTCTGCTGCACAGTTTACTCTTACTGTTCTTTATTTAAGTAACATTTTGAAAACTGTACTTGCGTATCTCTGTAAGAATGCTTTTGGATTGCTGTCACACTACTACTGTATAGTAGGACTGTGAACATGTTTAATTATGTTTCGGGCTTTATAATAATTTTCAAGTTGCAATGCAGAATATTTTCTAGATGTCATTTATGTTTGTACACATGCATACTTACAATTATTGTTTTATTACTGCTTGTCAAACTAATCTTATGCAACATGGCAATGATTTAAACAAAACATTACTTTTATAATTATATAAACAAAAGGTTTTCAAAATAAGCCAAATGTTTGTTGTCAACTATTAGGATTCACTGCTTCACTATTTTACATTTATTTTTATTATATTTGTAATGTTTTATTTTGGACAAAAAAAAAGACATGTAACTTGTGGTCGGAAAACATTTAACGCATATTTAACTGTATATAACATTTTAAATAAATAAGGTTGGCCTCACTGCAATTGACTGATTTTATTGACTAAATCATTAATAGGTTAATTGGTTGGCAGAATAATCAATGAAGAAAATAATTGGTTTCATTAGTAGTTGCAGACCTGGTGTGTTCACACAGAAAACATTAATAAACCAACATATCGAGTGATATACACTATATTCTGGAAAGCTGCTGGTTTTCCATTTCTGTTTGAATTTTCTTTTATTCATGATTTACTTTACTTTTTTCTGTAAGGTTCTACTTTGATAACTGGCACGTCACTATATTACTCGTGGATATTTGTAGTTATGATAGAGGCTTAATAATTAACGTTCAAGCTGTAATGCAGTATGTTTTACAGATGTCATGTTTGTTTATATTCCTACACATACATCCGAGTCACTTATCTTGCTAACTAATAGATGACAATAACTGGGAGGCTGTGGCGCAGTGGACTGGTGCGTTGGTGTTGGGATCAGGGGGGCACAGGTTCAAACCCCACTGCAGTCAGCATGTCGTTGTGTCCCTGAGACACTTCACCCCACATTGCTCCTGGGGGGATTGTCCACAGTATGAGTATGTGAGTCGCTTTGGATAAAAGTGTCTAACAGGTAACTGGGTAAAAAAACATGAAATGTATAACTGGTGCACCATGCTATTGAGAAATAATGATTAAGAATAAGATGGTGTGGGCCTGCTGAGCGTAGAGCTGGGAGACTTGAGACAGAATTTGAAATGCTATTTATTGTAATATGAATACCTTTAACTAAATGGGCTTTGAGAATCCTATATCAGGCTGCTTATCAGACATGTCAATATACAGTTTTGTTTTGACAGCATCCCCATGCTGTTGCCAAGGATGCTCCACAACACACACACACACGCTATTCCAAGCACTCAGCTGCTGCTTGCATCACCGATTCCTCAGAGCGAGCTCCCGCTCTTGGTTTCCAGAGAAACGTAATGACTTGCCAATAATGCGCAAGAGCACACGAGCGTCCTCCATGTAATATGGTGAGCGAGAGGTCCCTGGGAGTGCCTGCCCCATTGTTTGCTTTAATTTCAAATTGCTCAAATGCTCCAGTCGACACTGGGCACTGCACTAAAAGGGGTAGTGGGAGGGATGGGGAGCTGGGGAAAAGGGAAAAAAGTGAATTGTGTGTGGCAGGGGAAAACCTATTAGAGCTGGAGAGAACAAAGGGAGGCGAGGGAGGGGGCAGCGGTTGTGGAGGGGCCCATATAGCTACTGAAACACTGAAAATGGCAAATGATTTTTACAACTTGCACTTGATTAAGTCAAAGTCTGAGCGAATCATGTGTTCCTCTGTGTGTCAGTGAAGAGCTTTCTCTGAGTCCGACTGTGCTTCAAACCCATGTGTGACCTCAAACTACATATAGCACTCAGAATACTTATCATTTAAAGTATTATATTATTATGGCAGTATGAAGTATTATAGATTTATTGCTCAAATTGTGTATGAAGTTAGTATTTGGATGACGATTTCTAAATCTCCTGCATCAGTGTTTTTGCTACAGGCCTCGAACTGTTTGACTAAATTAGCTGTACTGTGCTTAACAGTTTTCTCATGCCACATAAAATATATAATTAACATTTAACAGACTGAAGAACCGTGCACCACTTTTCCACGATACAGAGCAGGATGTATGTCATAGGCCACTGACTTCAACATTTAGCCTGTATTTTGTGGAGACTTGCAATTAAACCTAAGACTGAGATAACATCCTTGAAAAACATTTGATTATAGTATTTCAAATTTGGTCAATTGATTTGGCAGTTTGTGAGCCTTTAGTAGACTAGAGAGTTTAATTAGCTTTCCTGTAGTATGCTTGACAGTCACTCGTGCTTTTCTTTGTCCTCTTTGGGTCTATGTTTAATTGTCAGAAATGTGACTTCACAGCACTTGAGTTTTAAAAAGTCCTGTGATTGGGTCCTGCCTGTTTGCTCCGGCTGAGGGAAGTTTTGTGGTCTCTCTGTGCAGGATGGGGAACCTGTAAAATACGCTGGGAGGACAGAGCACTGTGAAAAGCACCCCCACACCCACAGGCTTCAGCATCTGAAATGGTATTGTGTTGAAGCCATTGCACACACACATATTTGGAAACACTTACCTGCAGGTTATTTGTTTTGCCAAATGGTTACAGCTCCTTATTTGCTTCCTAACTCCATCTTTTTAAAGGCTACCGTGTTTTCTTCACATGTATACATTCTTAGAAAGAGTAAGGAATGCTGTTCAGAAACATCAAACCAGTAATAAAATCTAAATGTTGTTCTTTTAAGTTTCATAGTGAAGTGTGTGTGTGTGCATGCATTACAGGGAAACTGTGCAGAAAACCAAAGCAGTCTGCGAGGAATGTTTTCACAGACTTAGCTCATAAGCTTCAACAAATGACTACTGACAGCCAAGTATAGCACTTTATTTTAAAGCATTTGTATTCTCAAACAGATGCCATATGCTGTTTTCAATTCATCAATGAGGAATGTTTTTTTTTTTGTCATGTAGAATGTAAGTAGCCTACGTGGCAAAATAAACAGCATAACATTGTTTACGTTAAGTCAAAGAAAATGTATGCTGTGTGACATATTTGATCAGGTCTTACACAAGCTATCCTAGTATATGCATTTAGTCCAACTATTATTCTTTAGATTGAAACAATGAAAACAGTGTTTCAGAGACAAAGCAGTGAGTTAGCAGCGTGCCGGGTTTTCAGCTTTTCATGTGATGGATTCCATTTCTATCTTTACATCCACATTTTTCCCAACTCTCGGTTGCTTTAAAACATTCAATTTTAGTTCTGAGAATCCCGCAGCCCCTATAAATGCATCATTAAAGGTAGTAAAGCGTGATAAGAAAACATAGGGTAAGATTTACTTTATTGATCCCAATTTGGGACTTTTGTAAACAAGGCATTGCACATAATGTGAAAATGAAAGAGTAGAAAATTAAAAAACTCAAAATTGAAAATAAAACAGAACTAAAAAGTCAAATCTATACATATTGACAGTGGAATATACATATTCATTTAGGCAGTAACTATAGGTTTTATACCAGACTTCATGGACAGCTTATGTGTTTTTCTGTTCTGTTTCAAATATCTCTTGTGTGGACATGGTCTGATTCTGTGTGTCTTTCTTGTGGTTTATTGCACTTTATAGTACATGTAATATCTGTAGTAGGCTATGAAA